TTATTATTATTATTATTATTATTATTATTATTATTATTATTATTATTCGCACAGTCAGTCAGATGTTCAGACTGGGTTTGGCATTTTTGTCTACCTATCGAGTCCTTACCAAGGACCTGGGATAGGCAAATCTGGATGTTTGATGATGTTACAGATATCGCCACAGGATGGAAGCTGTTCCAAGTAAAGCTGCCTTCTGCAATTGACTGATGGCAAATTTGTCAGTGCCTATGGTGTTCACATGGTGCTCCAGTTGCTTTGGGGCTGCACTCAAGGCGCCTATTACTATTGGTACTACCCTTGCTTGCCTTTGCCATAGCCGTTCTATTTCTATTTTGTTATCTTCTCCAATTCTTTCTCTTCTCTTCTGCTGTCTCCAGACACTGCCACACCCACTATCCAGACTATTATCATTATCATTATTATTATCTCTTTTATTCATTAAACATGAAACTCAACCAACTTGAACATTTAAAAACGTATCACAGATACCATTGACTAGCGCTGATGGTTGATAGGGGTGGCTGCCAGCATCCTAGGTATCAACCAAGTATCTTCTTAAAATGTACGCAGTAGCGCAGTTTTTTGCAGTTCCACTGGTGTTTTTGCAGGAAGCTGCAATTTCTTGATGTGTTTTGTAAAATTCTTGGACATGGTACCAAGTGCCCCAATGACAATGGGTATTACTGTTACATGTTTCATCCATAGATTTGACGGCCAGGTTGTGATATTTTGTGATTTTTTTCCCCAGTTGTTATTATCGTTGTTGTTGTTGGTTAAACAGTCATCCAGATGTTCAAACTGGATTTGGCATTTTTGTCTACCCGTTGAGTCCCTACCAAGGAACTGGGACGGGCACATTTAGCTGTTTGACGGTGCTACAGATACTGTTGCAGGATAGAAGCTGTTCCAAGTATAACTTCCTTCTGCAATTGACTGATGGCAAATTTGTTAATGCCAATGGTGTTCAAGTGGTGCTCCAGATGTTTCTGTCTACTCACCGAGTCCTTTGCAAGGACTTGGGATAGACAGATGTGGAGGTTTGATGGTAATGCAGATGTCGTCGCAGGATGGTCCGAGTAAAGCACCCTTTTGCAATTGACCAATGGCAAATTTGTCAATGCCAATGGTATTCAAGTGGTGCTCCAGATGTTTTGGGATTGGACCCAAGGCGCCTATGATTATTGGTACTACCTTGGCTTGCTTCTACCACAGTCATTCTATTTCTGTTTGCAGGTCTTTATGTTTTGTGGTCTTCTCCAGTTCTTTCTTTTCTATTCTACTGTCTCCAGGTATCGTCACATCCACTGGATAGTGGCTGGGGCAATACTTGTTGTTGCCATTATTATTATAAGTAACAATAATGATCAAAATTGTATTGTTATCTGTATTATACAATGTATAGGTAATCCACAAATTACAACCTTTCAGTTTGTGGCTGCTCAAAGTTGTAATGGCACTGAAAAAAGTGGCTTATGACCATTTTTCACACTTATGACCATTGCAGCATCCCCATGGTCACTCCGATGCTTGGCAACCAGCTCATATTTATGACAGTCAAAGTGTCCCTGGATCACGTGATTCCCTTTTGAGATCTTCTGATGAGCAAAGTCAGGGGAGAAGCTGTTGTGATCCACTGGTGGCCTGTGGAGCTGGCAGGAACATGGGCCAGTTCTGGAGTTTGGGGAGGACTCGGATGAGGGATCTGCATCCAATACAGAGATGGTACCAGGGCCACCTGAGAGTTCCCAGTGCGCATGTGCTCAGAGCTGCTAGAAGGCAAGATCAGCTGACACAAAAGGGGTGACTCGGGAGTAAGGCTTGGATGTGATTGCCCCTCCCGTAAGGTATAAAGGACAGGCAAAGGTGAAGAAACCTTTGCAGAAAGCAAAGTCATTTGTTCTGTT